AAAAAAAAAAGCTTCACCATTGACAACATGTTGAAAATAATACGAATTGATTACTAATATAAATTACAAAATTGTTGACCTCGACTTCCGTTCAATCGAAATTCAAACACGGGAGTCTGTGACTAGACTAGTCAGCGTTTGGTACCAAGACGTTCACAGAAAAGTGAACGTGGTCTGACGAATCTTGCACGCTCTATTGGGAGTACGGTCGGGTGCGTAATAAAATTGGTAAACTGTTGATGCTCCTGCCACTGTAGGTAACGGTCGAGACGTCGATATAGAAGTGCGAGAGGACAGGTGCATGTTGTTGATAGCGAATACCGTTGAAATAAACGGTACGCTAAATGGATGATTATGACGCAGATGGTGATGGTAACGACCATGACAACGCCAACGTCAGTGATGAAGAAGGTGAAAAAAATTAAACAGTGACGACGAAGACAAACAAAATGTGGATATCAACAATGATGTCGATGACAGCATTCAACTTTGATATCGATGGTAATCGGCAAAGACAAGTGCAGGGGTAGCAGTAGACGATATTGATGATTGATATTCTTGACATCACCGATGATGGTGACAAAAACAATGCTGTAAATACAAGAACTGTACGAAATCAACTAACATGAAAAGTGACAATTTACGTTAAGGTGACAAAAATAACGAATAGCTTTCACTTAACACTCGATCATATAGAGGATATAATATTAATGATTATGATTACGGGAAATAGTACCTTAGACATTCCCATGGACGTGTGCACCAAACGATTCAAAACGTTAATGACACTTATAATAAACTCCCTAATCTACCTTATTTCCCTAATGTACAACTTTTCAGCTAAACGTTTCTCCCTAATGGGTCATTTGCGAGAATTAAAACAAAACACCTGTTTCTAGGAAAGAAATATTAGCACGGCGATACTCTCGGCTCCTGGTAGAGCAATGCGAAACCCGATCTATACTCCGCGTAAGTCCATGTCACTGAAACATCGCCAGATAGTCTCGATCAGTACAGTGCAGAAGAAATCCTTATATAAACACCAGGGCATTATAATTACACTAATTCATACTCCGAGCCATACATCAAATAAGGACCTCCAAAAGTCTATGGCTGGCAAAAACAACTTTTTGTATCGTCCAGTGTACCGGAGACTAGCTTCGCACATCATTTGTTTGATAGCATCTAAAGTAGAGGAAAACCTGACGCAAAGGGTTCTATTTTTAGGCGAATGACGTCAGTTGAGGGGTCAACCTTTGAAAGAAAGACCTGGTAAGAAAATACAACTTTGAACGAGGCACTTATAGAAGTAAATAATGAAATATTTTTTTAAAATCTTTTCTGCAACCGTATAAAAAAGAACAAGAAATGGGGTTTGAATGATAAAATAATCCAACACAGACTATGATACATCATTTTCTTTTGACTTATATATCACTGTCGTGTTTACATCGTTAAAGCCATCGTCTTGTGAGCGTTCTCTTATAATATATGAAAAGCGTTCTCTTGTGAGCATTCTTGAAAGCGTACTCGTGTAAACTTTGTTTACGTTCTCTTGAGAGCGAACGTTTTCTTGTGAGCGTTCTCCTGAGAAGTTTAGAGCATTCTCTTGTGAACGTTCTCTTATTAACGCTCACTTGTGAACGAAGTGCTCTACGGAGCGTTTTCTTGTTGAGCGTTCTCTCGTGAGCGTTCTCTTGTGAGCGTTGGCTTGAGAGCGTTTTCTTGAGTGCGTTCTCTTCAAGTGAGCGTTTTCTTGAGGGCGTCTTCTTGTGAGCGTTTTCTTGTGAACGTTTTCTTGAGAGCGTTTTCTTGTGAGAGTCTTCTGGAGGGTTCTCTTGTGAGCGTTTTCTTGCGAGCGTTATCTTGTGAGCGTTTTCTTGTGAGCGTCGTTTCTTGTGAACGTTTTCTTGGCGGCGTCTTGGCGGCGTTTTCTTGTGAGCGTTCTCTTGTGAGCATTCTTTTTTTATAAAAGAAAGAGGAAGACAACGCTGGCCTTATCATTAAAATGGATAGGGGAGGCATGTTTATGTACGGGGACTGAGCGAGTTTTGATTAATGACCCCGTCTTACACTTGGACTAATGTCGTTGCGTCCACAAGCCATAATTAGAAGTGCAATCACACGGGGACGATTGTACTCTCCTAGAAGGAAACAACCCCGGGGAAGCTTCATTTATTTTTCCAGAATCGCCATGACAACCGGGAAATGCCGCCTGGGACCTCTTTGCGAATTGAAACAGTGATTATGCAACCCCATCCCATTACGTTGTCCGTCTTTAAAACGGAGAAAAGGCGAGCTGTATTTGGCCGGGTAATTGCGTGCATGGTTAGAGCAGCGATAACGAATGCATTTAATGAGTCCCATGAAAGTTCTTTACGGTGGTAGGCCAATTTGTAAATGTCACGGCTGGCGAATATTCTGTTTTGTCTGTGTACTAAAGTCTTACCAATTACAAAATATTTATGAAGTTTAATTAACGTTAACTTCCGCGAAGACAAACGTGAAGTCTGTAAAATGGAAGTTTTTTAAGCACCCACTTAAATTTTAAGCCAGTTTCGCAAACGTCAATGTCTTTATATGCCTAAAAGGTAATATGCTATTGCTGTAGTTTTCAGAAATAGATGGATTTGGGGGTAACTATTTTTTTTAGGAATTTTTTTTTTTAAAGTTTGTGTTCCTAGATGCTGGAAAAACCAAGAAAAAACATGCTTTTCTTGTAGTCTAGTTCCCTGACCCTACTTCAGGCGCAACACAACAATTTATAGACATCGGGGAACTATCAGGTCAGGAAACCTGACCAGTTGGCTTGCACTCGTTCCTGGATGTATAACAGATTGCAAACAGAATGCAGACTAACTGGCAGTAACTGGTAAATTGGGGACAGTATTTGAAACAAAAAGAACTCAGTTTGTTTCCAAAGATGGTCGGCCGACCATCGTTGGAAATTGATACAAAAATTCCACTTTTCTTGAAAATGACAGCACACCAGTTGCCATGATTTCAGAGGATGCTTGAGACTATTATTCACTTACAGTTAAGTAAGGTATTTCATAATAATTTGGTAATTTTGGCAAATGTTGTATATTAGCCTATACCTTTAAGTTGGCTGTCTGGGATGGCCAGTCGGCAAAAATGGTTCAACCCCCCCCCCCCCCCCCTGCAACACACAAAATTGAAATTCGTCTGGCGACATCCTCCACTCAGTAATAACAACTTCAAACTTGTATACACTGATAAAAAGTTGTTACAGTTCCTGAGGGTGTGCTCAAATTTAGTATTACATCTCAGTGTGATCATTGAAGAAGAAAAAACGCCATATCTGAAACAGTTTGGCGCAATTTCCAGGGAGTAAAATGGCATTCAAACTTTAGAATGTTGGAGCCAACATTAAAATTATCTGGCGCCTCATCATCCGACGTGAGACTATCTCTAATTGTTCCAATTATCTTTCGGAGATACCGAGATATACCCTTTTCCAAGCATGGCCTTAACAAGCATGAATAATGTTGCATGCATGATTCAAGTGTGGGAAGATCTTCCGTGGTCTATCTATGGTTTCAGTCGCTGTCTGCGCGAGTGCCGCTAATAAGCCGCTTGGATTACGACCATTTACAATTCCTGCGTAATCGCCCAGCGGTGGTTACAGATAACGATAAACTTGAACTCGTTCCCTCCTCAGTTTAGTTCGCCTCAACGAACAAAAAAAATCCGGGCAAGGTGGAATTGTGGTTCGCGTTACAAGACTACATTCTCGTGTGATAATAATGAATGGCAATGACACGTACACGTAGACATTTTGCGCGCATGCAAGTGCCGATACAACTCAAAGTTGACGACACGAAATGAGGTCAATAGTCAACTGTTTTTGTACTGATAATGCTCCCCACACAAAAGTTACTGGGGGTTTATGACACTATATGCTTCTGCTAAATGACAGAATTTGGGATCAGGTGTACCCTTTAACGCTGCACCCTTTGGAGACTCTTGGGGGCAGCAGACATGTCATCATTTACGCATAATGGGTGGACATGCACCCTCCGATCTCATGGAGGACTGGTGACAAGTCCAAGTCGGTACGGGGCATGCAGCCGAGAGACGACGCATCTACCAAATTAGCGGCGTGGACATGAATTGCCCCAAGGGTGTCGTCTTCAAAGCGGCGAATTCAGTCTGATTAATTACAGTACAATATCGCTCCGTGTTGATGTTAAAGGTAGGACTGCGTTGCTTTTTCTAAACGAGTTGACGGAGTATTCGGTCGGTCAGCATTCATTAGAGAAAGCAGCAATTCCTTAAAATCCAATTCTCTGCGTAGGTCCGACCACACTGATGTACAAGGCACGATAATGTGGCTGTACCTTAGTTTGGTCAGTAATTGTTTACTTCTCATTCGTGATGTATCACATTCACTTTTCCGACGACAGCTCATTAAAGTGTCTGACATGTACGTCCGAATTTCCGGAATTGCCCAAAGAGCTTTAAGGGCACATTATAATGATTCCAATTCAAGCGAGAGTGCTCATTCTATCAACAGTATGCCCAACATTTTGATTGCAATAAAACCGCAACGGACTCTAATATTAAACGATGTGATTGGAATTCACCGTTGCAATAAAGGAAATTGAAATGTTTTAAAAACTACACCCACCAGTTCAAACCAATTGAGTTTAAGGTAATAATAGTGTACAGTATTAACGTGTTGCAGTAATAAACACCACTGTATGAACAATTTGGTTGCAACGAATACCTTGTTTGGATGCCTCACTATTATGGTACAAGCACGCCGTTCACTCATATTTTCGTGGATCCAGTGATGTACTCTTTGGGCTTTTTGTACGCTTCCGTACAGAGGTTACATGGCAAGCTTACAGTTATGGGTTCTTGTATTAGATTACAGCTACGAAGCAAGTACTGCCAATTCAGTCTCGTTATGCTTCAACACTGCAAAAGTAGTGCCAATGTGCACAAATAGGTGAGTTTTGCACACAATAACTTACCTGCCGTCTTGACGGAGCACTGAAGATGTAGCAGGTCCACTCTTTGTCATCGGAATACCCGACCGTGATGGTGAACCACTGTCGCAGCGTGGAGCTCACCGAGCATTGCCCCACCGCGTACCACTTGCACCCCATGAAGGCCACGCCCGTCTCGTGGTCCACCGCCCGCAGACCGTTGGAGTCCCCGCTCTGAAGGAGGTCCACGCGCCTGCCGAAGGTCTCCCCGAGGGGTCTACCAGGAGGTGGCAGTCCCTCGGTACCATCCGAGGCCTTCTCCTCTCGGAGGTGGCGCAGGAGGAGGAGGTGGACCAGGCCCTCGACATGCTTGCCCGGTAGGGGACTGCAGACCTCCCCGCTGCCCAGGTAGTACAAAGCCACGGTACTGCTGGGGTCCCCCATGGCCATGGACGTCTCTGAATGGAGACGGCCTGGTAGGAATCACCGGTCACCTCATCGCTTCACCGGAATCTTCGTAGGAATCAGACCTAGAATGAAAAAGGACAAAATAATGTAACTGATTCCAGTGTTGTTGGTTCCTTTCCCGAGCCAAGTCTGAAAAGTATTATGCAATACCTTGGTAAGGTATCAGTTGAAAATGGTCTGGTTACTCATTTTGATTGTGTGTATAGGAATCTCAGTTTTGAGGAAAAGTAATGGCCACAGGACAGACTCTAGTGAAAAATCTGAGACTTTGTGGAAAATTTCTTGGACATATGTGCAAGCTGTGTACCAAACCTCATCACATTCCTTTTTCAGAATACCCAGTCAACACATCCCTTCTGTAGCCTACCACCTTATATTTCAAGTACACCTGAAACTCGCTAAGGACTCCGCAACACTGACTGCTTCGCGTTAAGGGCAGGTACTCAATACAGTTCAATGGTAATGAGATTCTCTAGAAAAGGTATCACTCCTGCTCCTGATAACGTTCCCCAAAATTCTTAAAGACGTTATGGGCAGATGCTTATACCTGAAGTCAGATTGGACTCAGTGCGCACGTGTGACTTAGATTTAGTCAAATGTGACCATTTTTAAGAGCACAATAAAACTGTTGAGAAATTAAAGGTTGAAGTGGTACCCGATGTGACTCCAAAGCCGTCAAGTTTACGGAAATTCCGAACAACAAGTTTTCGTGTGCGTCCTGAAAGGCACAGGTGAGAATACCCGGCAGCAAATGTGTTCAAAATGAATATTTTGTAGGCAATCCCGTAAGGGAATATTCAAACTGGGCCTTTTGCAAGAAGAACCAAGTCAAAACAGCAAATTGTATCCTGAGGTTGTAGTTTTCATTTCCTACAGACACGCATGTTTCACTGATGGTTTTTGCCTCAATTAGATAAATGGCCTAGGGCTATTATGTGATGAGAACGGTGCACACGTACAAAGACAAATCACCAGATATCTCTTTTAATGCCTCGATCTTACATCCATTTAGAACTGCAACGTGCCGGCTTAAATGCTGATTTTTTTTTTTTATATTTACGATCTTACTAAAGGAAGCCTTCATTTATCACTTAAGGATGGTGTCTGTCGTTCGAGTTGTGCTATAAACTGTCTAAAAACTTTAAATAATAAGTTTCGCAGGAACCCTACTTTTTCGTTTTCTTTTTTATTACAAGGCATCATAATTTAAGAGTCAACTTTCTTTTTTCCTCGGTACACTACATTTTGTCTCCGAGTTTGCGAAAACTGTGACAAAAATGATTGACAGGCAACCTGTTGTATCGGTTCAGTTGCAAGTATAACTAGAAAGCACTCAGAGAGCGCAAACCTCCGCCAAGGCTAAACACTTCCCCGCCATATTGTCAGTACACCCCAAAGACATACTCACATAAAATGGTGAAGAATCCTTTAAAAAATCCTGGATCCAAACCTAGATCCGGATCACTCCCAACATCTAATCGATTTGTACTTGTACCAAGGACCAACCCTAAAACGTTTTTCATGCAAATCCGTCCATAAATTTTTGAGTTATCTTGTTAAACAGACAGAAAAACAACCAATCAACCAACCAACCAACCAACAAAATTCGATGAAAACGTAACCTCCTTAGCGGAGGTAATTATGTTTAGCCTTGGCAACTGAACTGGGTAGCTTGAAATTTCTTTGTCACAATAATAGATGGTTTCGGAAAAACACCAGCAGTATACCCGTTCCAATTAGGAAAGGCCAATATTAATGAGGGACCATCTATGCCAAGATTAAAAACCAGTTCGAAAAAGGAAATTGCATCGGCACGCTTTGGCCATGAATGTGAACTTTACTATTCATTTCGACTCATCAACATCCAACGGCGCATGCACCAAAACATAATGGGTAAGACATGGTATAGAAAATGTGGAAGTAAATTACAGTTTTTGTGGCGGGAGGAAAACCCCAGAATGATATTCTAGGGAAAACCCACGGAGTCAGGTAGGGACTGAAAACCCAATCCACATATTGGCCCAGGCGGGATTCGAACCTGAGTCACAGCGGTGGAAGGCGAGGAAAGTATACCTGATCCCCCTTACGTAACAGGTTGGCAACCTGCATTATAGCAACGTCAAAAAGGTCTTGAGTTTGCAAAATGCGAATTTAGCAACCATGGTAGGTTTGATGTTACAGTTATATACCAGAAGAGCAATTCGTGCAGGGTGGTCGTTAAGATGATGTTTGCCCAGCACACTGGCTATGTGCTCCCGGATCTATTGCCTGCCATGTCTTGGCAACCTAATCATGCACGTAATGAGGAGCGGATATGGAGCATGCCATAAGGATCACGTTTGTACCGTGACTGGCACGACGCCAGGGATCTGCACATATATCCTGGTATCATATGAATTCCACAATGCGCCAAAAAGTCCTCGCTTTAAAGTAGGCCACCAAGGCATGTATGTAAAATGGAGCATTGCACGGTTGTGTTGAGGACACGTTTCCACGTACTACCAAGCTTCAGACACTATAAAGGGCTGCAATGTACTTTTTTTAAATGCAATCCTTGAAAGTTTACCTTTGTGTCCCATTTAACCTTCTTTTCAATTTGCGCTTTGTAATTTTTAGGGTATTTTGGTGCCTTTTGGGGTTTTATGCTAATGCGAATTTCCATAATCATGAGCAAAAGTGTGATGTCCTTGCTACAGTTATTTCAGCACCAAAAGTTGCCAGAATTTGGGATATTATGCTGTTGTAAATTTTCTTTTCTTTGGTGATTCGTTGTTGTGTCAGTACATGGCAGTGAGCCGATAAGCAAACTTTTCCCACAAATGTTTTCAATGAGCAAATTTGGGGGTTCACAATTTGAGCACAAAACGCCTAAACTGAACATTGTCTTCCGGAAATGACATCACAGCAACAGCACCCTCAGTTTTCCGGAAAAGCATGAAGATTTTTTTAATGTTTAAAGAAGTGCACTTTTCAATAAAATTAACCAAAAAGGGATTGCAAATAGTTTTCATACATTTAAGAGGAGGAGAATCTTGCAGGGAATATATTCCTAAGAAAAATTAATTGCATGGCCCCTTTAATAGATTTTTAGGTTAAACAAAATGATTAACCTAAATACCGCCGTGGAAAAAGTCTTTGTTTTTCAGTTGCTGAGCCTTGCTCTTTTTTTAATATGGAGATTCTGTGCAAATATGACTAACTAAGTCATGATTCCGACCGGGTAACATGATCCGTGCAAATAGCTATTAGGACTAACTATAGTCATGATCAAGAAGTTGGGGGACTTCGCTGAAATTCGTATCTACTACCGTAGGCTATATGTCAAGTATAACAGTTATGCCTATTTTTTACGATAACAAATTTTGCCTCATCATTTTACAGTTGTATCCCTGTCTATCTGGCTCTATTTTGTCACCAAGACTTTGAATTCCTGGTAACGAAGACCAAAATATTGTCCAGGGTGGGCTCGACGCTTGCTGACTTTATCGGAGAAACGATAACCTATGACATTCACGCGCAATACTAGACGCGAGAAGTCCTTTGTCAACATCGCTATCAATGGGCCGGGAAGCACGCCCGGTATTTAAAACAATATTAGAAAATAATATTTGTCTCCGTGCCGAATCGATATCGCAGGTCGAGCAATTTTTTTCCGAGCGGAATACAGGTGTTGGCTATACACTCAACCCGAAGTCTATTGTATGTTTATTGAGCGTCAAATTATGGTTGCGCGTAGCCACAACAGTCGGGGGAATCTCAGTTTTAGCTTAGAGCTAGGACCCAAGGAGTCAGAACTCTTGGGCGATTTACATTTTGACCAAAAACATTCCAATCCCTCGAGAATGTCCTATAGCTCTATGGTTTTAGCAACAACAACAAAAAGACAACTTGGGCTCGGATATTCCTTGAAACATAACTCGTCCTCTCGACAGCAGAATCGAAGCAGTTCTACACAGGGTGTCCCAAAACAAGTTGTGCAAGCAGATATCCTTTAATTTCTCAAAAACTACTTAACATGAGTATTTCATCTAAATGGAGCATATTAGTTACACTCTTGTGTATAATCAGTGCAAATGCCATGGAAATCCGTTCATGTAAACCAGAGATCTAACAGATTGTAAAAGGATATGGGTTTTTCACCCATTCCAATGGGATTTACACAGTTATGATATCAGAGCATCAGATTGTCATGGGCCTTTCCACTCTGATGTAAATTAAGTTTACTGTGTAAATCCCATCCCATTGGAATGGGTGAAAAACCCATAGCCTTTTATAATCTTTTAGATCTCTGGTTTGCAAGAACGGTTTTCCATGGCATTTTCACTGATTATACACAAGAGTATAATTAATATGCTCCATCGAAATGAAAATACTCATGTTAAGTAGTTTTTGAGAAATTGAAGGATATCTGCTTGCACAGCATTTTTTTTTGGGGGGGGGGGACTTCCTGTATAGTGCCCCCATGGTGGAGTGGTTCAAAATTAATACTACCCATTGTAAAAAAAAGTTAAAAAAAAAACAAGGAAAAAAAAAACACCACAAGAAGGTGCCATTTAAGCTTTCCTAAGCAATGTCCTTACAATATTTTATCTGAATAAAAAAGACAGTGCTTTCGCAGTCGTACATTCACCGTTGTTAGAATAATCTGCCCCATCTTGGAAAAAAAAGTTATAATTAACGATAATTAATGAAGGTGTTTCCCAAAATTCATTCTGTTTTGACTATTATGGTGCGTGTTTGTCAATAAAAATATCACTGGAGTGAGCCAAATTCGCCAGCCCGCCACTTAAACTGTCCGAATTAATCATCCCTAATGTCATAACTTGAACTTCTGACAACGCACCCATACCACGTGTAAAAAAAGATTGTGTGAAGCCGCCGCCAGGGGAATTTCAAATCACGCGACAACATGACACACTAGGAGTCACCCTCTGGCGTTAATTGGCGGGAATTCACGGTTCAGGGATGCCGATTTGGAATGACAGAGCTGTTCACGATAGGTGATTAACGAAACCTAGGCGGCTAGATTGTACGCCATCGTGCTGGTCATTTTGTACCATTA